ATTTGACTGTTATAGCATTATATATAGTCTTCGCGATAAAGTAAATGTTGTGATGGAACGTTTGCAGCTGCCGAAGTTCAGCAATATAGATTTGAGTTTTCTTAATGAGTGGTTGGAACTGATGAGACCAATTTCACTAGCATTGGACAAGCTCCAAGGTGAGGTTTCAATGGAGTCTTATTTTGGTGCTGTCTTACCAACTATATTTGTTATACAGCGAAAACTGCAATCTTTTACTCCATCGTACACTTCAGCTCTTGTTTCTGCTCTTCAATGTGGCATGGATAAACGCTTTGGCGATATAATTGACTTTAAAGATATTTCAAGCAACAGCAAGATGAGAGCATTTGTTGTGGCTTCGATCAGCCATCCGTTTTTTTAAAATCAGGTGGATAGAATAATCATCAGTTCGTGAGCAAGTTGAAGACTTGTTTCTAGCAGAAGTGGTCAGAATGAGCAATTCTTCAACAGTTTATGAAGACAGAAATACTAGAGGTTGTACTAGTGCAGATTTTTATTGTTTCCACGAACCAAGTTCCGAATCACGATCGAATGAAAAAGTTGAAGGACTGCAATATCTTAGTGATCCTTCATATGATATGGAACAACTCAAAAGGTAATCAATATTTTTCTGTAATATATTATATATGTATAATATGTATATGCTTGATTTTCTAATACATTTTTATTCTCAAGTATTAATAACAAATTAATAATTTGCTATTTTGGTTAACAACTATATTATTGTTCCTTAGGTATCCTGCTGTCGCACAAGTGTTTTTGAAGTACAATGCCACTGTGCCATCATCAGCACCTGTGGAACGTATATTTAGCCAGGCTGGAATGATTCTCACTCCCAAAAGAAATCGTTTAAGTGATAAATCATTTGAAACTTTACTTTTACTCAAAAAGGACAAACTCTTTTATTGATGTAAATAAATTACTGTAAATAATGAGTTGATTTCTGAGTTTAATAAATTTATAAATATTTCAAATTAACCATGGTATGTACTTAGGTACTTATGTACTTAGTACTTATACTTAGTACTTATAAGTATCAAGTATACAATTTGTTTTGATACTTAGCACTTATACTTAAGTACTTTTATCACTGAGTACTTAGTACTTATACTTAAGTACATTTTTTGAGTACTTACGTCATCACTGGTAATGCCTGGTAGTGTCCTGTGATGCATTGTAGTGATGTTTTGTGTGATGCTTTGTAGTGATGCATTGTAGTGATGTATTGCAATTATGCATTGTAATAATGCATTATAGTGATGCATTGTAGTGATGCATTGTAGTGATGCATTGTAGTTTCGACGCATGCACGGTTGATTAACGGAAGGTCGATTGATTAGAAAGAAGGTTATCTGACTAAAAGAACATTTAAATATGAAAGAAATCATTACCATTACTAACATAACCACCCACATTCACTCACGAATTCGAAGCAACACCACCACCACCACCAACACCACCACCAACACCACAAAATTAGTTTTATGCATTGCCATTATTTTCTTCCCTGTATCAATACAACCATATTTAAGAAGGTTTTTTATCGTCCATACAGCCATGATTAATGCTATTGTCATCATCACCATCATTATTACAATCATCATCACCACCATTATCACCACCATTATCATCATTATCATCATCATTACCCTCGCCATCACTATCATGATCAACAATGTCAATATGGAGCTTGCAAGTTCTTAACGAGCTTATGACCATTGTCTTTGTCGTCATGATATTTGTTTACGTAGGGCCAGGCAACATGTTGATAACGTCATTTCATCACGTTTGTTTACATGCCGTCACAAAATATGTTGACGTAACTGTCTTCACAATTTAAAAAAAAAACGTCATAGTGACGATGTTATAAGCCGCGGAAATTTGATGTTGTTCTTCCTGTGATGCTTCAATTTGTGATATGATTCAAGTGAGGACTGAAACAACTTTCTTGCTTTTCAATTTTTTTGTTTAACTATCCAAAAAACAACCACCTCAGATTTCACTTCAAATTTTAAATACTATTAATTATGCGTTTTTTGTTATATTCAAGAAAAGCTGTTTTCATTTTTTGTTGTCGTTGTTGTTGCTGCTGTCGTGGCTGCTGTCGTGGCTGTATTTGTTGCTGTTACTGTCGTTGTTGCTCTTGTCATAGTACTGTTCATGTTTCTCTCAAGCTGTTTATGTTGTTGCTAATGGTTTTTATTGGCTTTAATTATCATGTTGATTATATTTCTGGCACTTCTGATTATTATGAAGATGCCAGGTCTGGTGTATATGATGATGGAATGAAGTAAATACTGATGACAATCATGTTTATGATGATATGAAATGAAAGGACAACAGCAATGGTAATGTTGATGGCAATTAAAAATTGTATATAGACATGGTTTAATATCATCTAGTAATAGTTTATTTGTCTGTCTTTTATGAGGAACAAATCAATTTTAATTCAATTTGTAAATACACATGTTAATTTGTTGACAAATTTGAAAACTACTACTAGCATACAATAAAACAAGAACGACTTGTGACCTACAGACCAGACAGAAACTACTTCATATCAGACATTTATTAAAAAAATTGTAGCCACCTACGAAAACATTATCTGAGTTTATCAACTTATCAACACAGTCGATGGCCAAGCTTAGGCCTGACGAAGCATGTAGTTGTTGTGGTGAAATTAAAACAAGGCAATCTTAATGGAATGCTTTCATTTGTAATTGTAACCGCTAACCAGACTTATATAAGGTCACTAAATTGAATTCTTTTCAATTGTTTAAAACGTTTCTAATGCGTTAAATTACTGTTAAGAAAAACAAAAATCATAAATTAGACAATCATCAGTTGTTAATAAGTTACTGTTGTCAAACAATAGCATTTTTAATGAAAAAAAATTTTAGGCAACGTGTTTCAGAAACTCAGAGTGGCGGTGATACTAACAATTTAGTAAAAGATCGGAATGGTTAACTCAATATATAACTTGAAAATTTGTGTTTTTCAATTCGAGTTGAAACTAGATCATTGTTGATAATAACTGTATGATTTCGTCATTCGGGCGGAAAAAACATGGAAAACTAAATGTCGGGTTTAAATTTACATCGAAAAATGTTAGGTGAATGATAAAATCTCTCTCATCTTACGTGCAAACATACACAAGTGTAGAGATGAATTATTTGAAAATATCAAATTAATTTTCCATCAGCAGCCTTCCAATCTTCGTGCTGAACGAGGTGGCCAACCTGATGATCCTCACGAACTCGTCCATCAACATCGTACCTTACTACTTCTTCGGCAAGAAGTTCAGGGAGGAGTTCCTGCAAGTCGTCTGTTGCTTCAACTATTCACACAGCCGCCACAACAGCAACAACAACAACCACTGCAACAACAACAACAACAACTCGAGAAAAAACTCAAACATGGATATTCAAAATTGTTTGAAAATTGATCAGGATATTGAGTGAGTTGTTTTGTCAATTTTGTTGTTTGCTGTTTACGTTGTTGTTGATTGTTGATATTAATTGTTGTTTGCTGCTAATTTGTGTCGTAGTTAGTTGTTCTGTTGTTGTTGTTTCTCGTTGTTGGCGTTTTTCGTTCTTTGTTGTTGCTACTCTTTATTGTTACGTTTCAAAATGGTTCGTTGTATATATATATATATATATATATGTGTGTGTGTGTGTGTGTATGTGTATGTGTGTGTGTATTATATACATAAATTTTTGTGGCTAAATAAATAAGGTCATTGACACTTATTTCGAGGACGCCGTGTCATTCGAAGTGTGACTCACGGTACCAATCTGCTTTTAATATTCTATTTTTTTTATATAAAAATTGTGAGGTTACTGAGAAATATTTAACGGTTGTTAGCAGTTTGTTTTGTTTCGTTTTCTGCAGTTGTTGCTGTTGTTGTTGCTGTTGTTGTTGTTGTCATGGTGATACGTCAGATGTATGCGGCTGATGTCATTTACCACGTGACCGTAATGACGTAGCCATCACAGATTTTAGTTAACTTTTTTTTAGAAATATAATTACATGTGTTGTTGTTTCGAGTAATTTTTATATTGTTGGATAATTATATAAATAATCCGTACATCATCATCATCATCATCGTCGTCGTCGTCATCACCATCGTCATCAACATCCTCATCACCATCATCATCATCCTCATCACTATCATCATCATCCTCATCACCATCATCATCACCATCATCATCATCGTCATCACTTTTTCTTAATCACGTCGAAAAATTGTAATTGGTGGAGAAAAACAAGTTTGAAACAAATTTAATATTTCGTACATAGAATATCACTCCCGTTGCATTAATTGCATGGTGATTGCTGAAGTCCTCTGCACGGATCTCTCCTTCACAATTTCCTTTGGAAGTGTCTTCGAAACTTTTGCGAATGTCCTTTCATCCGTTGGTTCATATCATTTTTTCATTCTTCGTTCATCCATCAGTGAGCAGCCGATGTCGAGTCCACTTGAACGCATTCATATGAAATAATCATTTACATCACTTACTGAAAGTTGTCACAAACTTTGACTTGAAATTGAATGAAATTAAAGTTCTATCATACTGTCACGCGATAATAAGTGAGGCATGTCGTAGCAATTAAGTGGTGTACATTTTCATCTTCTTCTAAGTGTACGCCTAAAATTTTCAGTGCTTTTCCATATAACTCTCGCAGGCTTTGCCGCTGTTTTTGTTCAACAATTTTTGTTTGACTTCAGTTTTTTATTTAATTATTTGAAAGGAAATTTTCATACTGTCATCTTCGTAATTATGCAATTTTAATTTTTTATCTTTTGTCTTGCTTTGATTTATGATTGAAGCTTTCACAATTATCTCGCAAATAATGCATGAATGCACGCCTCTATATGTTCGACACTGGATTCAGACTGTTAATATCTGTAAAATATTCAGACTGTAAAATATCATATATTTTACCAACCAACTGACTATACCTAATTGATCGACCTAACAACCGAGTGACCAACCGACCGACTAACCGACCAATCAACTGACTAACCGACCATTTAGAGGAACATTTAAGAATTGATGCATTCGTACCTTGCGTGGATGAAACAAACGTCGAAATTATTCAAAGTCTCTTGTATGAGTTGCTTGTAGGAATATCTTCTTGACTACTTAACAACTGCCATCTCTGCTCGCCGCCATGCAAAAATTTGACAAGTTCCCAAATGACAAAAGGAACGATTTCAAAAGAAATTTCATAACGTGTGGATTGCTTCTTGTGAAATCGATTGTCATGAATGCTAGCTAGCATTACAACAAGTTATGATAAAAAAGTAAAGAATTTGTTGGTCACATCAGCTAAGATTCTTCTACAATAATTTAAAAAACTGGAAAAAAATTTCGTGAAACCACACACACACACACACACACACACACACACACACACACACGCGCGCGCGCGCGCGCGCGCGCACATTGCACGCAGCAAGGATATGAATGTTTGTACATAGAGGCATTCACTAACATTTTCCGACGCGCCGAACGAAATAAATGAATTGTTTGCAAAGTGAACATCCGACACGACATGTGCATCATTCTGAAAACTTCACAACTTCTTCTCGCACTGGCAGACATCGGTGGAATGTGATAAGTCGAAAGTATGAAATAATTTCTAAATTCCATTTATGAAGGGTTTGTTTAAAAGTGGAGAGAATTTTTTGAAGCAAAACATTGTACGTAGTTATGAAATGTTGAGTAAAATTTTTAAGCTTAGCCATTTAAACGGTTCAGAGGTTCAGAAAGATGTGCATGGTGCGTGTGAGACTGTTCCTTAAATGAATCAGCTGCCACTTCGCAAACCTGGAAATTTTTTACACAATCTAACGACAGTTTCTTGCTGGTTGTAGGAATTTATAATTGAACCAACTTCGGTGCACGGTAACTATTTTTAAACAATCACATTTATTGCATTCGTTGTACAATTTGTTCTAGCTACCTTTGAATCTTATAATCATTTAAAAGCCTCTCATCTCATACTAACTCATTCATTCCTACCCGAATTCCCGATCAACCCTGCGACGCAAGTATGTGAATCCAGCAGTGGCAAATCCAGTTAACCAACATTGACGGGAGATCCTTAATTTTTAAAATGCTCAAATTGTTAAAAATTGTGAGACCAAAATTAGGCATTAAACTGGTAACCTTTTTGTGCTTGCCACGTCTATTGTACTTAAAAACGATGTTTTTTGTTTAAAAACTGAGTCTGACTGACTTTTAATAAAAAGACTGCTCATTGGCTCCGGCCCCTTCTCTATAGCCACCGCTGAAGGTTAGTGTAAAAAGTTTCCCTGAGTTAGTAGTAATAATATGTATTAAATATAAAAATAAAAAATTGGCTGCTGATTCTAAATTGTGTTCTAATTAAAAATCTACTAATGGTTTGGTCAAAATATTTTCACAACTTTAGTTTGCATTTTACGAAATCTATTTTGTTTCAACATCGTTGTCGTCATCATCGTCATCAACATCATCATGGTCATCTGCATTTTCATCATCCACTCCATGATCCTCATCATCATCATCTTTGTCATCGTCACTCTCACCATCACCAAATTCTTTTAAACAGTCTTTCAAATGAAGGCCTCTAACTTCATACATCTCCATCTTCATGTCCCACCCGCACCTTCTAACAATCGAATCAACGAGTGTTAAGGAGAGTTTCCAAAAAATCGTTCAAGCATTCGCATTCTTTTAAACGTTTTCATCGAGGAATTAATGAAAAAGAATCGTTGATTGGTTAATTAAATAAATAATTGATTAAGTGATTGATTGGATAATTGCTTGCTTGACTGATCGGTTAAATTATTGATTGAATAATTGATTGAGATTGATTAATGGCTGATAATACTTGGATCTTTTGTCAGTTTGTTCATGTAAGTAGGTTTATGAGATCGCCAGAGCATCAACTTTAGCAGGAAATAAATGCCTCATCATTAATTTTCTTTCTATATAAGAAAAAATAAAATAGAAAGTATGAAAGTGTTGGAAGAAAGAGAAAGCGAGAAAAAGAGAGGGTGTGAGAAAAAATGTAAAAAGAGAAAAAAACAGAAAAAAACAGAAAAGAGAGAAACGTCTTTTCATGCACCTTACTAAAAAACTGCACTTGTTTTGTGAGATTTATGTATTATTTATTCACCAACGGTCCTTCTTTTGACCACCTCTTAATAGTATTCAGTTGAACTCAAATGACAAATTGCGGAGGGACTGCCAAAGTTTGAGGACATGCCTGCGTAGCTGTGTGACTAGCACGACGAACTGACTCTGCCATGCTGGCGTAATTACAAAATGAAAAAGTGTTAAATAACTAATCTGCTCACAAAAATGATCATGCCACAAATTTTTACTGCAAAATAGGAAACTGATTAAAAAATTATAAAAAAAACATATTACCGAAAAAAAAATTGACTAAAAAATGAGGTGTGAGACGAATGCAACGCATTGAAATGAAAAAATTGTTCTATTTGATCTAATTGAAGAAAAAAGATATAAAGAATTTTTTCGAAAGTTGCATTAAAACGTGTTGGATGCTGCTAACCGAACAATTGTACCAGGAGCTCAGGAAAAAACTTTTACATTACGTAAGAAGCTTTGTTGAATTATTTGTGAAATTAAAAATAAAGAAAGAGTTCGGATAAAATAGACTTTGCAAGAATGGATAGAAAACAAAATTGAATGGTTTTGTGGTTACATATACGAGATGGGAAGATATAAAATGTAACGGTGAAATAATTTACAGCTTTTTGTGATCATTTACATCATGCTAGGAGGGGCATGTTTACGATTCTAACGCATGAATGCCCAGGAGTTTGCGAGTTATTTCCAACCCCATGCTGTGTGTTGCACTGAAATTTATGCCGCAACATTTTGAATGAAATTAAATTAAACATTTTTAATGTTTTTAAAATTTGAGTATGCTTTTAGTTAAATAATTTACATTACATACTAACTACTTTTATTGTGCGTGGTAGTCTGCGTTGTGGTTACACACAAGCTCACGCAATCAAACAGGAGACCTCAAGGTTATTTACTAACATTTTTATTGACGTGAGAATTTATCAAACCCTTTAACACTGGCGAACAACTTGGGTGGAAGTGTTGAAGTGTAAGTGTGCTGCTAGCAGTGGATGAATGATTGAATATATGATGGTATGGGCTGGCTTCATTAAATTTTTGAAGTGAAACTTCGGCAGATTCGAATAAAGTAAAATAATTAAAAATTATTTCAATACACGGTGCGTCATTATTGAGATCGAAAATAAGCAAACTGACCAAATACGGATAATAGAAAATTTATTGAATTTAAAAAAAATGAAAATTGCGGTTGTGAGTCGCACTGGGATCGGGAATGACAATGGGAGTCGGAGTTTTATTCCGTGTTTGGAGCAAGAAACATCGCAGTTAAACTATAATTTGGCTTCATTAACGAGCCAGACATAATTTTCTGTTCGTTTATTAATATGAAATAAAAGGAGAAAAATAATGATATTGGCAATTTTTTAATTTCAACTTTTAACTTATACAAATAGCTCGCGGTATGATCCGCTGAACAGCCATACTCGCATAATCTTTCTTTTATCATATGAACTCGTTTCAACGAATTATGTCTTCATAAACTGGATGTAAAAGTTGATGTTGTGAAAGTTAATGTCGTGAATGTTGGATGTCACGAAACTTAATGTTGGGAATATTATGGAATTATAGAATGTTTAGTAAGAAAATTTTATATAAAAAAAAATAGTTGAAAAGGACAAAAAAAATTTATTCATACAATTAAATAACTTACCAAAAATTGCAGAAAAATAGTTTTCAAGCTAAAAAAATATCGTTGAGCAATAATAATGTAAAAATATTTCACTAAATTTTATGTCTTAATTGAACATTTAAAAGAAATTAATTAAAATTATAAAAAAAGTTACGAAGTTTACCTGACCAGGAAATTAAATTGAAAACAAATAAACTCGACAATGAGAAGATTGATTCTTAAAAATTTCATTCACCAACAGTCAATTATTTTTTCAAAAAACATTGAAAGTGATTGTGAAGACCTGCAACAAATCTTTTCACTCACCAACTTCAACCGTATTGTACGATGAATAACACAAGAGTCAACTCTATCAGGTAGGTCTTCAACCTGCAACGCAACATTTATTTTGTTTCGCAACATGTCTGCTGGCAACTGTTTAGGGTATCTGAGATTAAATTTGCTCATCTACACAAAGGTGCATATGAATAATTGCATTATCTTCTCCGATTTTGATGCTAGCAAATACCTCAAAGTTGTATGTTTGTATGAGGTAGTTTTGTATGATTGTATATTTGAAATTTGTATGTCTGAATTTTGTATGTTTGTGTGTTTGCCTGTTCATACGTTGTATGTTTGCATGCTGTATGTTTGCTTGTTGTACATCTGCACTTTTTGTGTTCTATGGCACATCCCCATGCATGCCACATTTTTTATCAGTATTTATTGTTTATAAACATTTAATTGCTTTTACTTGCTTGTGAATTTTATAGCGAAGAAAGTCTCGGTGAAAGTGTGTGTGTGTGTGCTCGGTGAAAGTGTGTGTGTGTGTGTGTGTGTGTACGTTGTTGGCCTGCGTCGTCGTGTGAGTGGAATGTGTGGATGGCATCAATCAATCAATCAATCAATCAATCAATCAATCAATCAATCAATCAATCAATCAATCAATCAATCAATCAATCAATCAATCAATCAATCAATCAATCAATCAATCAATCAATCAATCAATCAATCAATCAATCAATCAATCAATCAATCAATCATGTGTATGATATTTGGGTGGCATGTGTGTGTGTAGGAGAAATGCAAAACTATCAAGCAATTAAAAGACCAATTATTTTATTAATTAGCATCGTACAAACACATAATCACATGCATGTACATAAATATAGCACGTAAAAAACAGACAGCAGCAACAACGAGCAAGAACTCTAACAAACACTGGTAAAGATACACACACATTCGCCGGAAAACAAACAAAACAAACAGGACACTAATTATATTGTTCTAGTTGCATATAACTCATTCTCTAGATCCTTCTTCCATACCTAGCTGCACCTAACAAAAAATGCACAAAAAAATGCATTTAAATGTCAATGCATTGCATAAATACAAATAATACATACATTGTACATCCATACATTCACACGCATACATCCCACATACAAACAAACAAGCAAACAAGCAAACAAGCTTACATACAGACACACATACACACACATATACAGTCCCGCATGCATTAACTACAATGTATTTCGCATGTTTACGGCGTGGACTCATCTAGCACAATGTACGTATGCGAAGAGTTTCATGCCAATAAGAAGCACATGATGGTTTATGTATGTAATGATGACGAAGATGATGATGGTGATGGGAAGAATGATGATGGTAGTGGCGATAAGATGATGACGTAGATATATTTATTACCGTGCACACTAACGCTGGGTTCTAATTAATTGCACTGTGGTCTGTATGTACGATGTGTTTGCTGTCATGCTGGTGGTAATAGAAACCAGTTCTGCACTTCTTGTTTGCTGTGTCAAACTTCAATAAAACGAAATGATTGTTTACATGACATTGATTATCATCATCATCGTCATCACTCCTCATTAAGATCGTCATCAGCAGCACCAGCATCGTCGTCTTTATCGTTATCATCATCGTCGTCATCGTCCTCTTGTTTATTGTCGTCTTGTCCTTCTAATTCTCTCATTGCAGATGTGCTGCCTATCTACGGCAGCAGACAAATATCATGCAAATATACAGATATATATTAGTCTGCGGTTAGTTTTTAATGGAATAGCACTGTTCAATACTTCTACGTCGTTATGGTTGTTGTTATTTGTTGTTGTTTGTTCGATGTTTGTTGTTGTTGTTTGTTTGTTTTTATGTTTGTATGTATGTTTATTTGTTCTCGTCAAATGATATATTGGGCTTTGATTTTGTTTTGTGTGTTGTTGTTGCTTTGTATTGTATGTTGTTGTTGGTGTTGTTTTGTTGTTGTTGTGTATTGTTGTTATTTGTGGCTGTTGTGTTGTTAGGCTGATGTTGTATATGTATTCTGCTGTCTGCTCGCATTTTTTGTATTGTCCTCTATCGTATCGTAATTGATTTGTAGTTAATGGTGTAATTTGGAGACAGATGTGAGATATGAAGCACTTTTTTTATTTTTTAAACTAAACCGACTAATAACTTTTTCCATCTAAACTGGCCGTAATTTTGTTTTGTTTTATGGTTGCTAGAGGTGCAGTTGATGACATCCTCAAAATTTGATGTTTTCAAGTTGTTGATTGTTTGCTTTTTGCAGCTGATTTGTTTTTGTTTTGTTTGTGTTGTTATAATTGCTGTTTACAATTACAATCGGATAATTATTATTTTCTTCAAGTGTCATTTTAACAACTGAACAAATAGTTGAGACATTATAACAGCTGCTACAAACCCATCTAGCATAAACGCATTTGACTGCTATTTTTTTTTATCATAAATATCAGTTTTTGAGATGAACGCAGACCTGACTGTAAAAGTTTCAGACGAAGACAATTAAATTTGAAATTGTATCTTCATCTCGCCACTTATCACTGTCTTATTAACAACAACAATAACGTTGTTTCTTTCCACAAAGGCTGTTTTTCATATCGTCAAAACCTTTCAGCTCTAACAATTATGACCTCAATTATATATTATTCTTTATTGCTCATAAACCTGATCACTAATGCAACCAGCGTAGTCAAATTTTAGCTGTGAAACGTTTACGACATTTTATAGTTGTGTTTGCGTTAAAATTATTTTCATCTATCATTTGTAGCGTGGAAATATTGCATGTTTGTATTTTTTAAACTCCAAATGTTTGTTGAAATAAAATTTTTTAGATGTTAAAATATTGCAAAAATAATTCTCGCTGCTTATTCAGCACACCAATTAATAAAGAAGCTATGAAGTTCTCAGCTCATTTCAATTTAAAGAATTAAGTAAAAAGCAAGGAAGCAGAAATTATCAAAGCTCGTTGAAATGATCTTCTCGTTTATTTTCATAAATCAATAAAGCACAGACTTTTCAAAATTTGAAGTTTCAACAGAATTGTTAAAGCTCAATTGCTCTTATCTAAAAAGAACTCAAGAATATTACAGAAAACTATTTCGAAAGACGGAGTTGTCCCTATTAACCCATTAATGCCGGCCGTACTCATTTGAGTACGCCTCTTGAATTTGGCATCAATTAAAATGGGAGGTGTTTTAAAGGTAATTATCTTGCTACATCCTGGTAATGCATACCATTTAACTAGTAGTGAGTGTAATTTAGACATTTTTGTGCATGTGTTTGATGTGACGAAGCTTAGAAGTTGGCGATTTTTTCATAGTGACAGAGCTACTTTTGCAAATTTTTTTTCTGTTAAAAAAATTTTAAAATTTTATTTTAAAAACAAGAAGTCTTTGGATTAATCTTTATGTTAGTAACATTATTTTGAATATTAATTTGATATAAAGTAATTTACAAACACAAACATCTTACTGTCCTCGTACGAGGACGTTAGGCACAAATGAATTTATTATGGTTAACTTTTTGATTTTACCTCAGACGTGAATAACATGGATCCTAAATCCTTTTATGGCACTAAAACTTTTCAATAATTAGAAAAAGCCTTGGAAGAGATAGAAAGTAATAATTTTGAAACAGTTGGCAGTATTGATTTGTGTGTCCTTCCTCCAGATTTGGACGAATTGACAGATGCCGAAGAAATTGATGATGACAATATAATTGATCCTCATTATGTTCCAAAAGACATTTCAGGAACTATACAAATATCTGTTGATTTGAATAACGAACCGGATAACGAAAACGAACCTGATCAAATATCTGAAGGTTTATATAAACAATATACTACATTCGAAAAACCCAAATGGACAAAATCAGATTTTTCGTCAGCATCACCTAGTACAAGTAATTCGTTTGATGAAGACCTACAAAAAATCAAAGACAACCTTAAAGATTTGTCTTCAAGACAAATTTTTGAAAAATTTCTTTCCATGGATATTACTAATTACATATGCCATCAATCCATCATTTATGCACGACAAAAAAATAACCACTCATTTACAATAGAACCAGAGGAACTACAAACTTTTTTAGCAATCTTATATTTTACTGGATACAATCCATTGCCAAGAGAGCGTTTATATTGGTCACTAGATGAAGATCTCGGAGTCTCATGTGTTTATAATGCTATGAGTCGAGACAGGTATCTGGAAATAAAGAGATTTCTTCATTTGGCTGATAATTCCAAAATTGCAGATTCTAATGACCGCATGTATAAAATTAGACCGTTGTCAGACAAGTTGCAAGAAAACTTTTGTCAATGGGGATGTTTTCATAAAGACATTTCCATTGACGAATCTATGGTAAAATATTATGGACATCATCCAGCAAAACAGTTCATTAAAGGTAAGCCCGTGAGATTCGGGTATAAAAACTGGATGATAGCTAGCTCCAGTGGATACTGCTATGGTTTCGATGTTTATTGTGGAAAAAAAACCAAATGAAACTGAAGACACCAAAGCATTACCACTAGGAGCTAAAGTTGTGTTGGACCTTCTAAAACATTTACCAGAACCATCAAGAAATAATATCTATTTCGATAATTATTTCACTAGTTACGCATTGATGGTGTACCTAAAGAAAAAACATATAAATGCCACAGGGACAGTCAGAGAAAATCGAACGCAGAAATGTCCATTGATGGAATCAAAAGAAATTAAGAAAATGACAAGAGGGTCTTATGACTTCAAATTTGATAAAGCAAATGGCATTTTATGTGTAAAATGGTATGACAACAGTGCTTGTAGCATGTTGTCTAACTGGGATTCAATCAAACCACTGAACAATGTAAAGAGATGGTCAAGAACAACCAAACCTAAAGAAAACATTCTTCAGCCGAAATTGTTCGCATCTTACAATTCTGGAATGGGAGGAGTAGATAACCATGATCAATGCTTATCCCTATATCGAATAAGCGTAAAAGGGAAAAAGTGGTGGTGGGTTTTATTTACGTACTTTTTAGACATGGCAATGACCAATGCTTGGAAAATTCAGCAAATAACTTCTGAGAATGTAATGGACCAACTCGAGTTTCGTCGCCATATAGTACGTGGCTATTTGAAAGACGGTGCGGCGAGTAGAGCCAGTAGAAAGAGAAAAGCCGGATCCAGTATTGAAACCACAGTAGGATTTCACTTCCCTGGAAAATTGGAAAAACAACTAAAGTGTACTTTTTGCCACATGAAAGCTAGATGGATGTGTAAAAAATGTGGCAAAACACTATGCATCGAAAAGGGGTGTTTCGAAAAGTATCATCTCGCATCTGCCTAACGTCCCCATTTGAGGACGCCTTTATAACGTTATACTTAAATAAATTTTTTTAATTTTTTTTGAATAAACATATTAAATATACTTCATATTTTACAATTTTGCACAATTTGATGTTTTTCATTCAGTAGTTTTGTTTTAGGCGTAAATGGGTTAATAAAAATACACACTTAGACTGATATACCAACATGAATAAATTAAAGTTCGATAGCGATGATAACCATGGTGTCGCAGTCGGCTGGAGAGAAATTTGTCTGAGAAACTCCGGCTCCCACTCGTCCATTGAAAACTCTCTCACTCTGACTACTGGAAAATATTTGACCGACTCCTAAAAAATAAAATCTATTTTTTTTTATTACTGCGCACTGCTTATAGTTCGTGGCTATACAAAAAAAATAACTTCGTTTCTTGCGGCTTTGCAAAGTTTAAAATTTCACGGCTGACAAGTTTTACAAGAACACGAAACGCGAAACATTTCAAAACCTTCTGATATTTCTTGAGGAGGTTGAAATAAATATCATACTCGTATGACTTCATTTCAAATGATTGAGAGAAAATAAAAAAAACAAGTTGAATAAGAATTTAAGTTTGACAAAAACTTTAAAAGCATTATAAAGCAATGGAACTTTAAAGTTTTATTGTAGAAACATTAGGAATGGTTTTTAAAAAGTTTTTAAGCAATTATTATAAAAACATGCGAAGATTTTTTTCTATGGTCATGTCAATCGTGAAACATGATTGGGACGATTGGGCAGCATGTATGTACAACACTCGTCTGCAACATGAATATATAACATGAGTGTGCAACATGACTGTACGATGCATAATCTCCAAAAAATATTTTTAATGCAACTATTAAACAAATTCAAAAAATGAAAAATTAAGTTCCAGCAGTAGGCAATGTGTCTTCATTTAACTTTCAAAAGATGCAATATTAATCGAATAATGAAATTATTTTATTCGCTACTTAGGCCCATGAATCACATAAAGTCCTACCAACATTCAAATCTATTGTCGAATTAGCTTTAATAGCGTTTAAATAATACATGCCACTTGTTAATTGCACGCTTTGTTTACGTGAAAATTGTTTAAATATTTATTTGAAAAAATGTGCAAATGTTTTGTTTATAATTTTAAATCTTACTGAATAATATTAAATTAAAATTTTGTGTGATAATTTTGCTGCAAAGTAATTTTTACAGCAGATATCACTACAAGATTTTACCAGCCAGCCTGCATATTGTCCGACTTGAAGTTGTAACCGGAATGAAAGTGGATTCATGATATTGCTTTGAAACTGTTTACGTCATTCCCACACTATTTGGTGAAAGTTGACTAATTAATGTCGTTTAATAGACACGCTGACTTAAATAACGATTAAACATGAAACTTCTACACGAAAACATTCATGCGATCCTCGATGATGTTGGTTCTGGCAAGTAGGCACATTTCGACCGGTGTTCATCACGAAGCTGATCATTACATCATGTTGATATCATGTTTTTATCTTCGTTCAATAATTTTTACTACTTGAATTTTTAAAAAAATCTTAAGGAATAAATCATCGAGGGAGTACTGAATTATTTCCAGGTGGCTAGGTCATCAGGGGCATGAGGTTTCAGGACTATTTACATCGTGCAGTTTGTAACGCTCTCTTCAACAAAGCGACATGGGACGTTTGGCATTGTCAGCTCCTACTATAACACAAACTGAGACACACGTTGAGTGACAAGCTCTATGGAAAGAATAAATTTTAAAAAACATTACTTGTGAAGAATTGTGAAAAATTGTTCTCGAATTAAAAATTTGTCAAAATGAAAAATTCAATTGAAAAGCATTTAAATTCAAAGTTGAGAAAATGAAAAGCAGGTTGTTTTAGCAGAAGGGCTTTGTTTGTTTGCATTGAAAGCTGTCAGCAGACGCAACAAAGATAAGCAGATGCAGAGCATCCTCATCATCATCATCATCATTCTAGTCAACATCATCATCGTCATCATCATCATCATCATCATCACAATCAGAGGTTTCAATCAGGTAGGGATGTATGTCATGAGGAACTTCATTTTTTGAAAAATTATCCATATGAAAATGATTAAAATTAAAAATTATCACTACATATTATGATTAGAATGTTATCATTTTATAATGATTGAATGATTATCAATTCGTTTTATCTTTTTCCATTAATTTCATCATCGTCATCTTCATCATCATCGTCGTTGTAATCATCATCATCATCATTATCGTCATCGTCGTCGTTGTCATCATTCTAGTCATCATCATCATCATCACATCATCATCACATCATCATCATCATCATCATCATCATCATCATCATCATCCTTATTATCATCATCATTATTCTGGTCATCATCATTCTATTCATCATCATTCTAGTCGCTATAATTGTCATCATCATTACCACCACCACCACTATCATCATCCTCATCATTATCATCATCATCATCATCATCATCATCATCATCATCAACGTCATCATCATCATTCTAGTCATCATCATCATCATCACAATCATCACCATCACAATCATCACCATCACAATCATCACCATCTCCATACTAATCACCACCGTGATCGTCATCATCATCAATATTATTGCCATTAATCACTCTATTGCGTTATCACCGTTTAAGTGAAATGGAGCCGGAAATGAGATAAAAATTCAAACGTTTAAGCAAATAGAGCAGCCAACCACTAAACAAATATATGAACGAAAGAATGAATGAATGAATGAATGAATGAATGAAAGAATGAATGAATGAATGAATGAATGAATGCGTGAGTGAGTGAGTGAGTGAGTGAGTGAGTGAGTGAGTGAGTGAGTGAGTGAGTGAGTGAATGAGTGAGTGAGTGAGTGAATGAGTGAGTGAATGATTGAGTGAGTGAATGAATAAAGGAATAAATGAATGAATGAACAGATGGATGGATGGAGGAATGAATAACCGGACGAACGGACAAAGGATGATGCTAGAAATAGTATTTTGAATTAAAATTTCAAAAGTAGATTCTGAAAGATATGAAAGTGGATATGAAAAAAAAATTAAAGTGTGGAAAAAATGAGAAAGATTTTTTAATGCAAGTCAGCATAGATAAAAAATGGCTTTTGCGTGTTTTTGATGTTTGTTTGTTTGATTGTTTGTTTGCTTGTGTGTTTGTTTGCATGCTTATTTGTTTGGTCCATTTGTTAATTTGTTCGTTTGGTTGCTTGTTTGTTTATTTGTTAATTAGTTTGTTTATTGGTGTTTGTTTGTTGGTTGGCTTGTTTTCTTTGCTTATTGTTTGTCTGTAGTTTTGTGAAAGGCTGAACAAGATAAAGAGATGTTGCAAGGTTGAGAAAAATGAAAAACACACAAAAATTGTTTGCTAAGAACATAAAAAATTGTATATGAAAATAAAAAGATTAATTGTTAAAAAATAAAGCCTCGTGCGTTGTGATAGAGATTACCTCCTAACTTTAATAGGGCATAAATAATTACCTGTCGTGGAAAAAACGCTTTTTTTTAAATGTGGTACCGCGAGACAACACACACACAAACACACACACAACACACACACGACACACAAACACACACACGCACACACATATATATGTGTGCATGTGCGTGTATGTGTACGTGTGTGGTTATTTTATAGACAGTCTGTTGCCCTGATTCAAATTTTTATATATTTTTTTCTTGTCTAACCGATAGTTCATTTGCATTTGATTATTATTGAAATAAGAATTGGAGATTGTATGCATATTCATGAGTATTTATAATATAACAACTTACATTAAGCATTTGCTAAAATGATGAAACATCTCAAATGTACAAATTTAACAGCCACTAAACATCACGAACCACAGAACACTTTCGTTGTAAAAGTTATAAAACCTAGCACTAGACAACAACAACAACAAAAACAACAAACCAACAACAAAAACAACAACAACAACAAACCAACAACAAACCAACAACAACAAACCAACAACAACAACAAACCAACAACAAACCAACAACAACAACAAACCAACAACAACAAACCAACAACAACAAACCAACAACAACAAACCAACAACAACAACAAACCAATAACAACAACAAACCAACAACAACAACATCAACAAATTCTAATATCCCTGTTGATGGTGCAAAATTTTTTCCGCCCGTCAGCAGCAATACCACCAGAACCAAGAATTATCTCAAATATCTCAAAAATTTAATGACGTTTTTAAATTCATTCGTCGATGAGTTTTACGACGGTAACGTTGAATGACACTAATTCGAACCATCATAATAATGATGTCATCAGCAGAAAATCACAAAACTCTTGATCATTTGACAGAAGGATTTTTATTACTTACCGACTACTGTTCAATTTCAATAGAAGTAATTTGAATATAAATAATTTCAAAGAAAATAATTTGTTTTTATAAATTAAAAATCGTTTTAAATCGAGTTTAACTTAAACCACTCTTGCAGTAATAGAGTTTAAAGCTATCTACATTGGCGGTTGGATTATTTTCACACGACAACTTGTTTCATTCTATTTTGATTGATTAACGTCCAAATGTTGCCATGAAATGATTAAGGTGAAAAAAAAGAGCAGATTCCTGAGTTGAATGTTGAATGTTCAATGGGTTCAATGACTCCAGAAATGAGGGTAAATAAAAGCGAGAGACATTCAAAAAGTTCAAACTAACGAGTTTCCTGAACTGAAAAATAACTAATTTTTAACTTACTATCGCTAGATAAATCTTTTGATAATAATAATAATACATACATACATACTTGCATACACACACATGCATACATACACACAGACACACATACACACACACACACACACACACACACACACACACACACACACACACACACACACACACACACACACATACATACATACACACATGAATGCATGCGTACAATAATGCGATCGCCATCCTTCTAATGGTAAGTTAAGTTGGCAACGTCTTTATGAAGCCAATTACGAAGCATTAT